AGAACACTGCCGTGGATGAAAAAGATAAAGGTGCAGCCCTGCAATTGCTTGCTCACTCCTGCTGCTTGCCGAACGGCCTCTGCTAGAGGGCAGCTCTAAAGAGGGTAATTAGGCCGAACTCTTCCACACTGGCCAGACGTCTTTGAAGAGGTGATCGTACCGATACTTTATCCCCACCACACGACTGAACGTGGTGTACCCATTTGTATTGCTGGGTAGACACCGGTTGAGAGATTTAAGAAACTCGCACCGTTGTTTGAACTGAGATTGAACCGTTAACTGTTGCACCACGGCAGCATCCACCCATGTTGGTATTTTACATTCTTAAAATCAGTGGCGATAACATCTGGCTGATAATGCGAGTGCAGTTTTCTTTTCAATGAGCAAATTATTTGCAGTTGCTCTTCATTTTGAATGTACTTCGCTTTCAAAAGTAATGTCCCTTTAAAATGTGGCCCTGTAAATTGAGCTTCGTTTAAACGATGTGAAGATAAATGTCTAAAAAATGTATTGGAACAATGAGATACATTTTTGATTGCAAAGTAAGTCATACCGAGTGGTCCAAAGGTAATGGGAGCCCCCATTTAACTCTCTAACACTTAATATTTTTCAAGTAAGGTTTATTTCAAACAGAAATGAATGTGCAAAGGAAAAAAAATGGAGTGTCAATTAATTGACATCTGAACCACCCTGTACCGTATTGTATGAATTCGATCCCGACCCATACGCCTGTAAATTTGGAGTTTGCATGTCCCTCTCCCCGTGGCGGCGTGCATTTTTATCCGGGTCCTCCTGATTTTCCCTCCACATTTAGAAACATGCAATCTAGATTTGAAGTTTTCGTGACTGCAGGGATCCATACTCTTCGGTTCTTTCGGTAAAGTCAACACACTACTCTCCCTATCTAACACCCCCACCCTATCCAGCCCTCCTCCCTGGCTCCCCCCCCCCCTCTCTTACTATATAGCCCCTTGGTACAAGCAGCCCTTTTGCCCGCCTCAACAATTGTTTCGTGCTGTGGTCGTCCCACCTGATGACGGACGCTTGTGTTGCGCCAGAAACGTCGTGATGTAATGAATTTTGTTTTATATCTACGTGACTTAACCGAAAGAACCAAAGAGTATACAAACATGCATTCCGAGTATTTGTCTGATATCAATGTCCACGTGATGAGCACTTGGTTGAGCGATCGTTTGTGGCCAGGTCACTTCTGAAAAAGAGCGACGTAGCTCAGTGGGCCTGACCTGGTGTAATACAAATAAAATGTTTAAATAGAGACAAATTTAATGCTGAAGTTATTTACGGAGCTTTAAAATCATGTCACTGTTTTATTAAGGCCTCCTCACACTTTGTTATTCATAGAGGTTGTTCAACCATACTTCACCACATCTTTAGCCAATGCAGGTGGTTGACAGGGGGCACAAGGGGTGGTGTGAGCAAGACTGGTTTCTGAAATCACTCGCCACTCACAATAGCCCTGGTTGGATATCAAACTTGGGTCGAAAGGTTCGTTGTGCAATGTGCCAACCACTGCGCCAACCGCTCCCGCCCAAAAATACAATAATTTGTGAATGTACCAAATTATGTAGAAAAAAAGACGCGACTTAATCTTGCAACATTGCAGAAGTTTTGCCCAGATACAACAATAAATGTTGCGTCATCTCTTGCCACTCTTCCCTTGGCAATGCAGGAATTAACAAAGTGGAGGCTATTGTGCTTATTTACCCTCTATGCATTGGTACACTGTGACCTGTACTTGACAGATTAGCAGATGTGACTTGTAATTGATAATTCCTCCCTTCGATTAGCCCAGTGGGCTACGTGCGATGTGAAAGAAGTTCAACAAACATACATGCAACATCGTGGCAAGAATGTAAGTTGAGCTTACACGAAGCAGATTTGTTACTGGTAGGAACCTCCTGGTTACACCAGCCCACAGGGGATTGTTGTGTCCGTCCGTCGTGCAGGGAGGGGCTGGGTGGGGAGGGAGGGGCTGGGTGAGGAGGGGAGGGTGGGGAGGGGCTGGGTGGGGAGGGTGGGGAAGGGCTGGGTGGGGAGGGTGGGGCTGGGTGGGGGGTGGGAGGGGTGGGGCTGGGTGGGGAGGGGCTGGTCACTCCGTGGTGCCCTTATAAAACTCAATGTTTAACCTACTCACGCCGGCTTGTGCCCGCCCTCACAGTCGGGCATATTTGCGGAATACACCACGCCGCCGTTGACCCTGGCCATTGACTGAGCAACCCAACGTTCCTACCAGCTCCCTCCGCAGGAATGTGTCTAATATATTTTGAGGATGTGCTATTTCCTGAAGGACCGTGAATGTCACTTAACAGCATCGTACACATGTGTGTCTTTATTGCACAAATTAGTGCGACACGGAACAATGCACTTCTGTGTTACAAATTGCCAGAGCGTGACCCGTGGCCTACTCACAGAAGTCATTGTTTTATTCAATAAGCGAAGGAAATTTGTGCGTGTTTTTATTTATCTTAACAAATACACGTGTGAAATTAATTACACGGCCTGGTCTACTAATGCATTGGAATAAGCTGCGAATGTGATTATTTTAGTACCGTCATTTGTTTGGCCTCGATAATTAGTCACGTGTTTGCTCGTATCTTCGTGCTCATTGTTTTCCGTTTCTATGCGGGGCAGCAATTACTCTTTGGCTGTCACCTGATGATGCTGCTTGTAATTACCGGTAAAAACGTCAAGGTAGTCGAATTGTAAACGTTGCGGGTTTACTCTCCAACACGCCAGTGTGCTGAACTTGTAACGAATTGGCACGTTTTGTTTACGTCAAAAACCTTACTAATTGGTTGTGTCGGGCGGTGGTGGTTTTAACGATGCATGAATATTTACGCAATCAAACCCACAAAAACCTCCATTATACGTAATATCGGTCGCGAAAACCTCCGTGTTAAGCTGAGCAATTTATTAACTGATCTTTCACCAGAAATTTTTCATTATATCTTGTATTCATATATATACCCTGACTGAAACGGAAATGTAGAATACAACCTATTTATAACTGCAGCCTATAATAACTGTCGTTTTCCCCTTGCAAACTTCATAGTTGTAGGGAAAGAAAATTGAGTGCTGGTATACACGTGTGGCGCTCTGCGAAGTGCCGCTTTATGGGGTACTGACATATACAAGCACATGGTGACTACGATATGTGTGTGTATATATTTGTGTGGATGTATGAGTAAATAAAAACGAGTGAATATGTAGGAGCTTAATGGTGACCAGTGGCGCTCATGAAAACCGTAGAGAAGCAGCAGACGGTTAATGAAAAACTCTGACATATCACAGGTCAAGCACTCATGTTGGGACCAGGCCCTACTCGTATTACTTAGGCTGGGTACTACAGGGAGAGGAGAAATATAAAAAAATGAAATAAAAGAAATAGATCCCCGTGGAGCCATCCATCTCAGCAGTGATGGATCACTGCGTGTGAAGAGGGGGGGGGGGGGGAGTGCCCCATCCCATCCCTGTGTTTTACTTTGCCAAGATTAATCGCCCCGCAGAGATAAGGGACAAATGTGATTTCAGGAGGTGCGTGGGGTTATTACCACATGGAAGATGAACTGAAACCGCAGCAAGCACCCGAGCCTAATCCAATAGCGCGGTGCACAGTGTGGCCTTTGGAGACACTCTTGAGTTAATTGCGCTGACCTTACGGTGCATTATTAGGAGCTGTGTAACTTTAATTTGATTGCGGGGATTCGCGCGGACAATTAACGTTGCCTCTTAAATGCGACAATATCTCTCCGTTTTGTTGCGCACGACGCGGGTAACGCCGTGGTCGTCGGCTGCCTGTGCGTGCGTGCGCAGACACGTCTGTGTGCGTGTGCGCACGTATGTGCTTACCTGTGAGAACTCGGCGCGATGAAAGCCGTTCAAATGCCCCGGCCTGAGCAGCGATGCACGCGCGTAATCTCCGTTCGAGCGCAATTCAATGCCGCTTTGTGAATTGCAATTTTTTTGTGCGCCTTGATTTATTCTCGCGCAGGGTTTCGTATTTTTTTTTTTTGGAATACAGCTTTGCGCGTAAAAAACGCGCCGTTCGTTGCTTATCTGAGCTTAAAATAAACTTCCTGATTGGGTTGTCGTGTTTCATACACGAGCACTCAAGCGCAATTTTAACTTGTTCGTTAATCTCAATCGGCAAGGTTTGTGCGCGTGTGTGCACGCATGTGGTCCTGTTCGCTTGAAGTGAAATTACGTTGACTTTTTTTCTATTTTTCAACTAAATCAATGCGAAAAATAATCCCTTGTTTGGCAGACGAAGTCACGGACAGATTTTCCATACCTAAATATGATTTTATTTTAAAGAGCATGCATATGCATGGATTCTGTGACGCCTTCAGAAGTATTTAGCGATAATATTTCCCAAGCCATACAAAGGGATGAGGTCAAACTAACGGACGATGTGTACTTGCTTGCGTATGTAGTGTGTGTGCGCGCGTATGCGCAGCGCTGTGGTTCAGCGCTACAAAGCTGCCCGACAGTTACACATTCCCAGCCACGGCTAACATCAGTGGCGAGTAATATCTCCGCTGGTCGTGGGCCTTCTTCCCGAGTTCAACTCAGACGGGAATACAAAGGCAGCCAGGCATAGTGCCGGTAACACAACCCCCTTATCCGCTATGTTGACCTTAATAGGCCAACATTAACAGCGATTGCCCACACAGTCTGCCAGCATACGTGGGGCTATATTTGTTTTTATGTCTATGTATAGAACGTGTGCGTGTATGTATCTTCCTTGACATTCTCTATCCTTGTACTTCACAGTGTGACGGGTATCGGCGCTCGCTAACAACGCTTGCCCAAACAACAGTCAGTACGGCAATGCGGGTACATCTTTGCCTTTGTGTACAGGTGGAACATGTGTGTCTGTGTGTGTGAGTGCGAGAGAGAAAAACTGCATCTTCTCTTAAAAAAAAAAAAACATAATAATAAACCTTTCCTCTATCCTCGGTGCTTTTTGTGCTTTGTAGTGCCACAGACAGCCGCGGCTGGCATTCGATCAAAGCGGAGCTCTCTTTCCCGGCCGCAAGAGAGGGCGACACTTTTATTCAGCCGGCTCTCGCCCCCACGAAGGCCACAGGCCAGCGTCGCCCCTGCCCAGCGTCGACTCGTCGCCCAGTCGCCCGGCGACGTTCCCCGTGAGATGACCTTCAGCGCTTTCCCCTCGCTCGCATCCACACCGAGGTTCCACCCCGAGCTGCCATGCCACTGGAGGAAAAACGGACTGCTGCGCACGTGCACACGTGCACACGCGCACACGCGCGCTCCCGTTACGAAGTTTTGGAATGCGGCGTTTTTTTTGTTTGTTGTTCGTATTTTTATCTTCAACTTTAACGTTACGGCCACTGCTGTAGACGTTGTCGTAATGTAAAAGCGCCCGTGTGTGCGTGCGTGTGTGTGGGGAGCGGTAGTGTAGCGGTTAGCGTTCCGCGCTACGTACCCGGCCAGCCCAGTTCGATTCCCGCTCATAGCCAACACAAGTAACGATTATCTGAATCGGTCCTACGTCAGCTCGGCATCATGTCAGGTTGACTCGGCATCATATGCGTACCTGGTGCGGTGTGTAAACATCGCCACGTGGGAGACAAAGGCGGTCGAGTGTGGTGCTGGCCACTCACTCCCTCGTGTGCAGTGCTGTGGCTTTCATAGGTGCTCCCTAACAGCACTTGTCCTAAAAGTCTGTTCAGGCTTTACAGGAGATTTTTTTTTTAAGAAAAACATGTTGTAAGGTACTCTTCTCTAAGTTGTATTAAAACAGTTGTAAACCAAACACATCATCACGTTATTTACAAAGGTGACGTACAATAAGTTAGTCTTTTGGACTTATATATGTCGACACCTCGATCGTGTTTAAATTTGCTTATTGAACAAATTACAGTCGGCCCATGGCTTTGCGACGTTCATTCGCCCGTTAGACATTTCCCGTGCGTCACACTGAAGTTGGGCGATTCAGCAAGCTTGTACTTCTCTTGCAGAGTTCACTGACAGTCACTCGCGGCGAAGATACCCTTGCTCACGGAAGGCAGAGCTTTGGCGGCAGCACCCCATCATCCGACACTGACGCGTCAGTCAGCGACGGCGAGGACACCTTCCGAGACGTGGGCGCTTTTCACGGCGATGAGTTTTCACACCGCGGAGACGCCTCGCACGGCGAGGGCATTAAACTAACGTGGGCAGAGCAGCGCAGCAGGCTGCGTGACAGCTGTAACCCATCGCCGGCGAGCAGCAATCTTCATCTCGGCAGTCGGGAGCGCGCACAGTTTCTGTTGGAGAAATGGTCATGGACCAGAGGATTACGTTCCACTAAGACGGAGTGCTCTCCAAGGGACCCGGCAGCTCTACCGCCAAACAATAAACCATGCACTGCTGTGAGCAGGTACAGTGACAATAAAGGGTCGTCTGAGATGGCATATTCTGTTCGTTGCGCATCGTCGGAGTTTCGTGAATGCCCAGGCGATGCGCCTGCTGATGAGATGCAAGTTGTCGTGGAAGAGGAGGAGGTTGTAAGAAGTAGCTCTGCTGCAAGGCCAATTAATGTAAATTCCCGGTTCCTAAAATCTCACAAAAAAAAGAGCGATAAGTTAGACGGGGCGGTGCATGACATCGCGTCTTGTGAGCCTCAGCGTATCAGGATAAACACGCATGAATCTCTCCAGGCCGTTTCGGGTAAACTCTCGGCGAGAGACATCGAATGCGTGAACGAGTCGAATGAATTGCACTGTGGCCTGCCGGTGTCCAGTCAGAGCTTGACATCGAGCGCTTACGGTCCGCGAGATTTTTCGCTGCGTCCCGCGCGCCCTGAAGCGGGACGGAGGAAGACGGCGGCTGCGGCGCACGCAAAGCCGAGGTCCGTCGACGCGATTTCTATAGCGGGGAAAATCACGGCCCCACAGCTGGATGCGGGCGATGCGCCGTGCGCACCGAGGGCCTCGACCGAGATCCATTCCGTGTCCTTGGCCGAGGCGAGCGACGGCGACAGTGTACATCGCGACGGACAGCGCGCGGATCGCGGCCGCGGTTTGTCCAAGGTGGACAAGCCACAGCTCAGGCCAGCCCTCGGGACACAGATCGCGACGGCGAGGAGCCAGAGTTTTAGCAAGCAGCCAACCAAATCTTCGTCCCTCGGCCCCAGAATCAGGACTCGCATCATTACCGGCACGGCAAGGCGGGCGGAGCTTTACGGTGGCGGCGTTTCGCTTGCCGACGCGTCGCACTTTGCGGCGGCCGGCGCGCGGGGGGAGAACTTTCACTCGATGTCGAAGGTGGACGTGATTTCCAATCGAATGACGTTAGAGCACAGGCCTCAGTCGGAGCCTTGTCTACTCAGGGAGAGTGTGAAGTGTTTTCAGCGGCCTTCGCCAAACAACGTCGGCGCTTCGCAAGCGCTGGCACCTTCCCACTATGCAGCACGCTGGGATGCCAACGTGGCCGTAAAGGAATGCGAAAGTGTCAATGACTTGGTCTCTGCGCGGGTGGGTGAGTCCAAGTTGACCGTGGAAAAAGGTCAGAGAGAAGAAAGTGACGGAACTGCAAGCATCAAACAGAAATTAGCTAGATTGTCTTATATATTTTCGAGAAAAAGCTCAGAGACTAATTCCGACATAAGATTCCAATCGAATGGTGGGACACGCAGACCAAAAACAGAATTAATGTCACCAAAAAGCACGATTGAGCCACAACATCGGACCACGAATGCCCCCAGGAGCAGCGAAGCTCTCGTGCCCAATTCACCCGAATGTGCGCCGAGTCCAGCAGACGGGAAGTACAAGGGTGGCGACAGCCTTGAAAAGGTCAGGGGTCATCCCGGATGCTTCATTAGCTCCCCTTTGACGGAGTTGGTGCCCTCATTCGTGCCTCTGCCGTCCATCGAGGAAAAAGTCATGCAGGAGATCCAGGCGAACGTGCTGAGGCAGTCCGAGAAGCAAATGCTGGTCTCCGCCGGGAGCAAGACGTCCCTGGTGAAACCGTTCTTCATCGCAAGTCTCCTGGGCCTTCGCAGGAGCAGGCCTTCGTGTGGCAGGGCGGCGGCACCCCCCGTGGGTAAAGCCACGGCGCCCGAGAGAGCGGGGCGAGACCCGGCAATGCCGCCGCCGCCGTTGCCACCTCAAGACCAGGAGAATGAGGAGCGCGCTGGGGATCGAGCGAAGCCGAGCAAGTGGATTGAGATGAGAGGAAGGCGAGCAGCGGCGACGGGGACTGGCGTCGCGCCGGACGCTGGACAGAGGCCGGGCGCAAATGGAAGTTGGGGAACAAATGGAGGTCCGGGCGACGCTTCAGACGTGCAAGGAGTTGGGACGAATACTCCGACAAGGTAAAGTTTACGGGCCGACGACCTAGTTCTCAGCGGCTGTGGGAATGATATTCACGCTGTGACGACGCATCGATTCGTCGATTGCAATAGATTTCTTAAGCTCATGAAATGTGCATCTAATCGCGTGGGATAAGGATCGATGTTTTTCTATTTATATTCTTAGGTTATTTCGGTAAATTCACGTAGGTAAATTTTTTTTATTAATAAAAGTAAAATAAAAATAAAAATCACGACGTTTCGGAGGCAACACAAGCTTCTGTCTTCAGGTGGAACCGTCACAGCACGGCTGCTGTATCAAGCAATCAAGCAATCGTGCTGTGACGGTTCCACCTGAAGACGGAAGCTCGTGTTGCCTCCGAAACGTCGTGATTTTTATTTAATTTTTATTTTACTTTTATTAATTTTAATTTAATTTTTTCACCTACGCGACTTTACCGACAAAACCTAAGAAGATGAATCCATGCAGTCACGAAAGCTTCAAAGCTAGAATTTTTTCTATTTATGTTGTGTTTTCAAATGCGACATACGAATACAAATAACACATGCGTCTCTGCACGCCCAGAATTATAAACGGGTACACCGTATTACAGTTGATTGGCAGGTCGTGTGTGGTGCGGTAAAACTGTGAGCATTCTCACCTCTTCCAAGAGAGTCTGGCCAGCATGGGAGAGTGAGCTCAAAGTACCCTTGAGAGGGGGCTTTTGAGAGCTCCCTCTAATGGAAGCTTTATTATCAAAAGTGAAATGAGCAAGCAATTGCAGGGCTGCACCTTAACCTTAGTGGGATCACGTGACCACCCCAGCGAATGAAGACCGCTATTTTTACCACAATGTAAATAAATAAAAATCTTATATAGATTTTCATTTTGAATCGCAACGCCGAATTATAAGATGCATATTGGAACGTGAGTGGGGGAGAATCATTATGCCCCTAATGCTCAAGGGATACAATGTGAAATGACTCTGCATGCAGAAATATTAATTTAAACTCGGGAGTGGAGAACACACTTGCCGCAATGTGATTTAGTGAAGTTCATTATGTGTTAAAATGTAATTAGTTAATAGCAAACATTAATCACATTGTAGCAAATGTGATTTTTTTTTCATCCTGTGTTAATACATCACCTTCCAATTTTTTTTAATAGAATCAAAGGCCTATTACATAAATTGGCTCGTATTAGTGATGATTTTCTAATTGGTTTTGATCGCTGCAAGAGTTCACACTGTCGCAATAGCAGCAGTGCCCGGATAGTGCTGCCTTTGTAACGGTAACTTTACCATTAAACATTGCTAATAGCCACTCAGGGTGGTTTTGGAGCAGCGGGAAATTACGTTTTGAAAAAGTAGTTTTTCAAAATACTTTTTTTGTGTGCAAGTTCAGTCTTCTTCTTTAGGTCGGTTCATCTCACAGCCCTCCCTTCACTCTGGAAACGAGAAACATTGGCCGACGACGTCATAAATATATATTTTTTTCCCTGTATACGGGGCAGTGTCACCAATAAATGTGGTGACTTTCTTTGCAAATTCGTGACTCTTCGTGAATGATGGCAGGTTCATTCAGTTAAAGTGTGAGAGTAATGCATTGTTACGTTACATTGGAGTGGGGCTGTGGGTACAGAGTGAATAGCGCCCACTGCACGATGAACCTGGCGACCTAGGTTTGATTGTCAGCCTAAATTTGACCAAACTTTCTATTTTACCAGGAAAGGCCGACCGAGCTGTATAGCAATTTTTTTTCAAAAGCGACTTGGCTATCATAAATGATAGCTCAACGAAGTGGCTCATCACGTGGAAATGTAAAGCAGCCAAATACTCTAAACGCGTGATGTTGATTCTGAATGTGGAGGGAAAAAACCAGAGGACCTGGAGACAAATCCACGCGACCACGGGCAAAACATGCAAACTCCAAATATACAGCAGCAGGCGTCAGGGTCGGGATCTAATCCACAACCTCCTGTATACCAGGCGAGGTAGTTAACATCTCACCACCGTGGTATTCGCCTGCTTGACCCCCCAGCTACGACCAGGCCTACCCCAACCTCTGTCTCTACCCCTATTATTACCCCAAACCTTATCACTACCCCTATCACTACCCCTACCCTTATCACTACCCCTATCACTACCCCTACCCTTATCACTACCCCTATCACTACCCCTATCCTTATCACTACCCCTATCACTACCCCTACCCTTATCACTACTCCTACGCTTATCACTACTCCTACCCCTATCACTACCCCTACCCTTATCACTACCCCTACCACTACCCCTACCCTTATCACTACCCCTACGCTTATCACTACTCCTACCCCTATCACTACCCCTACCCTTATCACTACCCCTATCACTACCCCTACCCTTATCACTACCCCTACCCTTATCACTACTCCTACCCCTATCACTACCCCTACCCTTATCACTACTCCTACCCCTATCACTACCCCTATCCTAATCACTACTCCTACCCCTATCACTACCCCTACCCTTATCACTACCCCTACCCTTATCACTACTCCTATCCCTTTCACTACCCCTATCCTTATCACTACCCCTATCACTACCCTTATCACTACCCCTATCACTACCCCTATCATTACCCTTATCACTACTCCTACCCCTATCACTACCCCTACCCTTATCACTACCCCTACCGCAACCCATCCATGGCTATAATGATGATGATTGTGAAGTAAATTAAGGCAGTGGCCTGTGCACAGGTTTAACCGTATGCCCTGTCCTGGCTTCTTCCTGACCGAGCAAACCTTCCAAGGCTGTGGTTGACTTCGCTTATCGCGGTGAGATAGCATCGTCAGGGAGCAATGAGCATGTGTGTTAGCATTTAATTTGAGGTCCATCATTGATCTGTATGCAGGAGCGCCTTCGTTGCCCGAAACCAGCGGGTTGATTAATCGTGTGACTGATAGTTTGCGTGATAAAGACTGCACTTGTCTCATTTGCTGTATTGATCGCGCTAATGATTTCCCCCCCCCCCCCGCATGCATATACGTGCATACACCCTCTCATATTAATCAGGGTGTTTTTGAAGGGACATGGAAATTAATACTCCGGATGAACCACCACGCGTTGCAATTAATGCGCATCAGCCACTCCGAGTCTTAAGGAGGCCACGGTTACTCGCTGATTGCCACTGATTGAAGAAGTAGCGGAGGAGAATTAAAGATTCGTATGTAAAGTGCAGTAGATTGAAATAAAAAGCAATTTTCAACTTACCAAACTTTCAGCTAATTTTTTTTTTACGTGCAGTATATCATTTGTAGGAGTCCTCGAAGCAGCAGCAATGTTCAGTGTACTTCATCTTGGGTACAGCTGAGAGCAAAGCCATGGACCTGGAGGAAGTCATCTATATAAATACTCCATCTACTAGAGTTCCGGACATTTTTGTTACAATGCACACTATATTAAAATACTATGAAGGAGTCAATTTTACAAGGGATGCTCTCCACGAACAGTATATTTTAGTACGTCTTGTTCAATATGACCACTTTTGGCGCAATGCTTCATACTCTCGGCGCGCAGTCAGTTCATATCAGGATATTGGGCCGTGTGTGATCCGCGTTGTAATTACAAAATGTTTCATTGAAAGTAACCCCCGCCCTTCTGCCATCACCTTCTTCCGCCGACGAGCGGGTCACTGCAGATGCTCGCAAGACAAATGCTTGGCTAACCGCCAGATGTCCGGACCTTTAAAAGCAGCTAAGCAGAACACAGAGTTACACGGTCGAGAGATTTTTCTCCCTCTGGGCAATTAATGATTTCAGTTACTGCCAGCAAAGCGAATGCAATTTTAAGCCAGAGTTGAAGCAGAGGTCTGACCACAAGATTATTACATTTCTATCGGACTTTGCCCTACCCAAAGGCCCCAGTGGGTGGGTGGGGGGGGGGGCATTGTGCCAATGCTGTCTGTCTACTTATCTTGTCTGAAGCCAATTGAGATGGATCTCTGGATGGGGGGCTATTTGGAGCCAGCAAGGAATGCACTTTATACTTTGAAAGTTTTTCTTGCAGCAACTGCAGAAAGAAGAGATATCTTATATATGTGTGTGTCTGTTCTCCGAAAGTTGTTTTTCTATTTGTGCGTACGTGTGTCTACAATTGTGACGGGAGCGGTAGTGTAGCAGCGGTTAGCGCGCTGCGCTGTGAACCCGGCGGACCGGGTTCGATTCCCGCTCGTGACCAACATCAGTGGCGATTATCTGAACCGGTCCTTGGCCTCCCATCGGTTGACTCAGCCTCAAATGAGTACCTGGTGCGATGTGTGATAATATCACCACTAGGGAGACAAAGGCGGTCGGGCGTGGTGCTGGCCACCCAACCCCTTGTGTGGTGTGCCGGCCTTCATAGGTGCTGCTTGCTGACAGCACTTGCCCCTACAGTCTGCTCAGACTATACGGGGATCTTTGCCTTTGTTTACAATTCGTGGAAAATGGTAGTGTCGTGGTTAGCACAGATGGGGTGTACCTGAGTTCCATTCCTAACCATGGCTAACATCCATAGTAATTATCCGAATCGGTCCTGGTCATGGGCCTCCGTTAGCTTTGCCTCAACCTTGAATGAGTACTCTGAATGAGTACCTGGTGCAATGTGTAAAACATCAGCGCTGGAGAGACAAAGATGGTCCGGTCGAAGTGCTAGCCACACACTCGCTCGTGCCCAGCGCTCGCCTTCATAGATGCTTGCTAACAGCACTTGCCCCAACGGTCTGTTCGGGCTATGCGGAGGATCTTTGACTGCAGGGATAGAGGCATGTGGGTATAGTACCAGCTGTACCATTGCCTCGTGTGTTGTGTCAGTATTGGTTAGTGCCCTACTATAAGCGCAATTGCTTGTCAGGTCTCAGCAGCTAAAGTAAGGTTGAGCCTGAATCGTGTTGGCCTGGGCAACTAGCATGCAATGAAACATGACATTGTAGGCTTCTGCATGGCGTCTTGTCAGCAGAGGAGAGTACAGCAAAATCCACTACTATACTATGTTTTTATGCCTATGCCACCCCGCCTTCGCCGACCCACACTGACCAGCAGTCAACTAACCCCAAAGCCCCACACAGCACTCGGGGGCCGTTATTCAGAAGTATAGTAACAACAAGAGTTGTACATGATTGCAATGGCAATACGTTTCTACAAATGAAAGCCATTTTTACTGGGTGAATACGCAACATTATGAGACCTCCTTTACCAGTGGCAAAATATAGTAGTAGGTTTTTACCCTTTAAACTGGTACAAAACTACGACCTTTATACAAGGCATCATGTTTGCAATAACCGCAACACAAGCAGTCAAAATTCAAACGCCTTTTGGCGTCATCTGGTCCAACACCAATGGAGACTAGGCTCTAAGGAAAGCTGTCTCGGGTGTGGACCAATCAACTTCAAAGACAGTGCATATCATTACCATTATTAGAGTTGTTTCTTTTTGTTTGCATTTTGACTGCTTGTGTTGCGGTTATTGCAAACAGATGCCTTGTATAAAGGTGTCAGTTTTGTACCAGTTTAAGGGGTAAAACCCTACTACTAGAATACGCAACATATTAAGTTTTTTTTTTATTTCTTCATAACCGTTAATGTGGTTTTTTTTGTTTGTGCACGTGTGTGGCAGGGATGTGAGGGCAGCGTGTCTTCTCAGTGACAGCGCAGAGGACGCCGGCAATGGCCATGCCCGCTCTCGCTCGCCGTCCCATAATGCCTTGCTCCTCAAGAATACCCGCATGCCCAGCGCCGATCGACTGGTGAGCTTATGTCGTGACGTGCGCTGCCTTCCCACTCACACGTCCACTCTGGGCGTAAGTAACACGCTCAAGCCGGATAAACACTTTTGATAATAATGATGATAATAATAATAGTCCGTGTGTCCATTGATACACCGAGCAGATCCGCCTTCTCTTCCTCCTCAATCCGATATAATTTCCACACACGCTATACCCACGTGTGTTCATGTGGAGAGCCGTCTGAAGTACTCGGGGGAGGAGATGGAATATTGCATTTTAGTTTTGGCTTCCACCCATTACGTCATCTGTCTGCATTTCGAGTAAACATTTGAAGATTGAATCTTTACCAAAGTAGATGTTAAAAAAGAATTAGCCTCACGGTTATAAAGAATAATAATTTACGGTGCTTTGTCAATCCACTGCTGGATGAAGGTTTATCCACGTTATGTCGGTCATGGGAGGAGGGGGGGGGGGGATGTTTGACCGTACCCTCACCACTCTGGTCGGTGCGTGTCAGTGAAGTTGGCCAAGTTGGTGGTGACGTTAGGACCGGTTCAGTTATCGCTCGCCAATGATGTTGGCCAAGGCTGAGCTCATGTCGCCGACGGGCTGATGGTGCAGGATGCGAAACCGCCGCACCGACAACGCTCCTCCGGAGAATTGTGTGGATCTATCATCCCCACTCGCATGTGTAGCAATGAATATGGTTAAGCCTCCAGGAGCACATTGCTAAACGTAAATGAAATGCAAAGTGGAAGATGAAAGGAGAGACGTAGACGATTTTTTGGACACTAATGTATAAAAAAAACGTCATAGGATTTGTCAACATGCCTTTCCTTGGCAATGTGATTTTTTTTTCCATTTATACAGCGTAAAAAATCAGTGTCAATATGTGCAGACTGAATCGTGATCTCGAATCAGCCCTTGGAAGCAAGGCAGGCTCGACCCAAGTGCTTAGATGGGTTCAATAGCATTTCTGCGCATGACGGCAGCAGTATGTTCAGGTGCTAAATGACTATGTGGAGGTCTGCCAACATCCAGGAAATGGAAGAGGAAGGGCACACACATTCTCATTTGCCGCCCTGAGAACCACTCAACGTGCAGGGAAGTGACACGGGCACCCCGGTGGCGAGAAGTTATGTGCCTCGCCTGGTGTACAGGAAGTATACATTCGTTCGTCGGTTCGACCTTGACTCTGACGCCTGCTGTATATTTGGAGTTTGCGTGCTCTCCCCGTGGTCGCGTGGCATTTTTTCCCGGGTCCTCCGGTTTTTCCCTCCGCATTTTGAATCAAAGTCGCGCAACTTAGATTATTTGGCTGCGAAAATTTTCGCGCAATAAGCCACTTCGTTGAGCTATCATTTGCGAGAGCCAGGTCGCTTCTGAAAAATAGCTACATAGCTCAGTGGGGCCTTACCTGGGTAAAATAAAAACGGTAAAGTTTAGTTTACGAACTGGAGTGTGCTTGATTGCGCGCGCGCACGCGCGCGCGTGGTCGCAGAGTCGAAATCTGCAGATTATTTTTTTGTTGATAGGAGTGACCTTGATTCGGCGGTGGGAAACTGGCACTGCCGCTCTTCCAGGTGGCGTGCGGCTGACGTTCGACGTGCACGCGGCTCATTTTAAACGCATTAGTCCCCCCACGTGTGAACGATCGCGTGTCACTCGCAAAGAAGGCTGCGACTCGCCCAGCATTTCAGATCGTGGCGCGGCTGCAGGCGGCCGCGGGCAGCCGCTGCTGTGCTGTTGTTGCTGCCGCGTTGCATTTCAACGAGGGTCACGTGTTTGTGTGGTGTGCTTGCTTTTATTTTGTTTTATTTAGTCGGTCTCAGAGCAGCTTCGTCGCGGCGTGAGGTTGCACACCACCCCCCCCCCCCCCCCCCTCAAGTAGTCCTGGCTTTGGATTCCGCCAACTTAACGCACGCCGGCCCGCGTAGTTATATTCGTAATTACCATCTTTGTCATGCACATCCAAAAATAATTGCTTCTTTCATCCCGCTCATGAAAATTTATAATAATTGCATTGTCAGCTGCATCGCTTTACAACCTCATAGACCCCAGGGACCACAGGACCGAGCTTTCCATACCCCTCCCCCACCACCACTACCACCAACGTACTCCATTCCCATGTAAATTGGGCTGCCAATTCGCATGCAAATTGTGTCTCGATAATATGAATAATAATAATACTACATACATCTGTGAATTGGATAGCTGGGCTGTGGTAGTTTATTAAAAGTAGGTATTCGTTACGTGCTCCAGCTACCTGTGTGCCTAATTGGCACGGTGGCTCCACATCACAGACTTTCACGCAAAAATGTTGATAGATTTGCTCCTTAGGTTGTGCAAAGGGTTCATAATGTTAATATTTTCTTGTTTGTGGAAATAGCGTATGTGTGTATGTATGTGTACCAACGATGAGACAAAGGCGGCCAGGCACGGTACTGGCCAAACCAACCTCTCTGTCACCACGCCAATCTTAACAGGTGCTCCAAATCAGGACGTCTATCCTCGTCATCAAATGTTTCAGCTGTGCCCATCAGCAGTCTGACTAAAGTATGGCCAAATCGCCCCTGAACTGTGACCAAATCAAGCTGAATGCACGCGATTTTTTGGCAGATCTTGGGAGCTTGGCAGAATGGAGCCTGGTTTGGTGTCTGGATGGGAGACTGCCTTTGAAAGAGAAGGTGTTGCAGCGAGGTGTGCTGAGCTTCAAGTATCTTTGTCTCGGACTACCTCCAGTTTCCTCCAACATGGCCAGGTGCACTGGCAGAGCCAGTGGGGGGGGGGGGGCACGTGCCCCCCCCCTATTGATCCTATCGAAATCCTAATTTTTATCGGATCATTGGGGTTTATTAGTAATAAATCGGCATTTTGCGACCCCCACTGCCACTGTGTAGCATATTATTACGTGCCAGGGACTTTACGAGATGATAGGAGAATAGTCTGAGTCCATAATTGGCAATAAGTAACGGCAAAGCAGTTATAAGTGACTCATAATTGTGCGCACTTGCGTATACAGCACACGACTTCCCTGAAGGCATTCACCTTCAGCGAGCGCGATGCCGATCACACAACGCGGTTCGAATTCGACCCTCGATCGATGGCTGTGCCATCGCCGCACACGCGTCGAATAAAAAGCAAGGGATAAGTCCTTGCTTACTAACAAGTCCTTACTTACTAACAACTCCTCTATCATTTTTCATTGCTGGAGGGGTTGCCCCCCCCTACCTGAAAATCCTGGTTCCGCCATTGGCCAGGTGGATTCTGACAAAGAAGCTAATAGCCCAGTGAGAAATACCCGGTTAAATAAAAAAAAATTTGCTCAGTGAGCTTTACCTGGTTAAATAAAAAAAAATAGCTCAGTGAGCTTTATCTGGTTAAATAAATAAAAATGCCTCCTAAAAATATTTTTTTGTAGTGATTAGCTTACCTTTCTGACCGCAGGTATTGTGGTTAATGCAAACATGATTCCTTGTAAAAAGGTGTCAGTTTTGTTGCCAGAAAATTGGGTAAAAAAACCTATTATTATATTTTGCTACTGGCAACGGAGGCCTCCTAATGAACCTTTCGTATACTTTACACCCTCATCATGTTGTTTGTCTTGTTTGTTGTTATAACTTTCTTATCCTCCCCGACTAAACATCCGTGGAAAAGCGCTTCAAAGCTCATCAGATTCCTCCAGTGTAATCAAAGTTTCTGATTCTGTGCATCTTTCCTTGGCAAGCACAGCGCATGCTAATTATGATTACTCTCGCAGTATTACAAGCCAGCGAAGTTAACTTTGTCTTTGCGTACATCGTTTGCGCGACGACGTGTGTTCGCTCAACTCACCGATATCATTACTCAAACTTATGCCCCCCCAGTATAATAATAATAATAGTTCAATTTGTAACGCGCGCAAATTTGCAGACGTAGTGGCCGCAACTCAGAGGCGCGGAGCCAAGCTCAGAGTCGCTCAAAAGCATGATTGTAGAGGTGAGTTTTTAAGTCTCTCTTGAAGGAGGCGATTGAGGTGATGCTGCGAATGTGCAGAGGGATATCGTTCCAGAATGTTGGGGCTGCCACCGAGAAGCGGCGCGTAGACGTGATGACCATCCTGGATCTTGGTATCAAGTAGAGGTCGTGAGTCGCGCTGCGCAGGCATCTGCCGTGTGCTGAGCTGCAAGTTGTCAATAATGAAGAAAGGTACGGCGGGCAGGCGGATATCATCCCCTCTAGGACACTGCATACGGTGGCAATTATCTCCAGAACACATGGTTGCCAGCGAGAGCGTGCAATCTTGTGCACGATGTTAAACTATAAATAAAAAAACATAACGCAGTGTGCACGTACTGCACTGTTGGATGAGAGAGTTTCGCCACACCGCACAGGCCGCCGGGGGCTTATGATGACCAACGCTTCACCACGCTGGTCGGTGTGTAAACATCGCCACTGGGGGAGACAAAGGCGGCCGGGCGTGGTGCTGCTGAAGGGAGAAGGAATGCCACATGACTCGCCGCTCACGTTAGCCGTGGAACAGGAATCGAACTCAGGTCTACACTATGGGAACCTCATTTGCCAGTAAAAATATGATAATTGGTTTTTTTACCCTTATATCTGGCACCAAAACTGACACCTTTTTTTACAAGGAGTCATGTTTACATAGACATCAATACCTGCAGTCATAATACAAACAAAAAACATAACTCTGATAATGTGCACTGTCCTTGAAGTTGATTGGTCCACACCCGAGACAGCTTTCCTTAGAGCCTCGTCTCACATGGGTTGGACCAGATCGGATCGCCGTTGTGGCCGAAACGTCGTGAGAATTATTTTTTTGTTTTATTTTTATTATTTTATTACTTCCCTTCTACGTGACTTTACCGAAAGAACCAAGAAGATGAATCCTTGCAGTCCGGAAAGCTTTAAATCGAAATTTAACCTCTCCACCATTATCATTATTTGTATCGCTTCACTTTCACGGGATTACATTCGTGTGTATTTGCCTGTATGTGTGTGTGTGTTACTTGCTTGTGTGT